GCCTCCACTCTAACCTACCTTTGAAAGTGTTTGGATGTGTAGCATTTACCCATATCCCCTCTCACCATCGACATAAATTAGAACCTCGTGCACTCAAATGTGTGTTCATTGGATATCCACCTACTCAAAAGGGATATAAATGCTATAATCCGTCAACCAAAAGAGTCTTTGTCAGTCTTGATGTCACCTTCTTTGAAAAGACACCCTACTTCCAACCACCCTCTCTTCAGGGGGAGATTCTGAATAAAGAGAGGTTACTTGATGAGTTTTTTAATTTTGATCTCTCACCTCCTGAGCCAACCTACACTGAACATTTCACATCCAATATGCCATCAACAGAAGGAAACTCGAACATAGGGGGAGATGCAGGAAATCAAAGAAACAAGGAGATGTTAGTTTACTCAAGGAGGCCAAATGGGGAGATGCAGGAAATCAAAGAAACAAGGAGATGGTAGTTTACTCAAGGAGGCCAAAACCTAAGTTTACGAGTAATCTCACACCTGAAGCACCAAAAGAGTCAGAACCGGTGATAGGGCCGAATGAAATCCCATCCAATAACTCAGGATCTCCAGGTGATGATTTGCCTATTGCTCTTAGAAAACAACCTCGGTCGTGTACTCTCCACCCTATTTCTAAATTTGTGTCTTATAACAATTTAGCCACAAAATTTCGTACTTTTATCACAAAACTTGACAATACAGAAATCCCAAAGAACATTCAGGAGGCCTTAGAAGCTCCATTTACCTCTCTTCGACATTACCTCCAAATGCGGGCGTTGGAAAAGAATGAAACTTGGGATTTGGTGGAATTACCAAAAGGTAAAAGTCCAGTTGGTTGTAAATGGGTGTTTAATGTGAAGTATAAAGCAGATGGGACGATAGAACGATACAAAGCTCGCCTAGTAGCCAAAGGGTACACACAGACATACGGTATTGACTACTTGGAGACATTTGCACCGGTAGCTAAATTGAATACAGTCAGAGTTCTCCTATCTCTAGCAGCCAATTTGGATTGGCCTCTTCACCAACTTGATATCAAGAATGCGTTTTTGAATGGGAAATTGGAAGAGGAAGTCTTTATGACAGTACCACCTGGGTTCAATAATAGAGGTGGAAAAGACTGGGTATGTAAGCTTAAGAAGTCACTATACGGTCTGAAACAGTCACCAAGGGCCTGGTTTGATAGATTTGCGAAGGTATTGAGGAATCAAGGATACCAACAGGGGCAGTCAGACCACACTATGTTTTTTCGAAAATCGAATGGAGGAAATATAACAATTCTAATTGTGTATGTAGATGATATAATCCTCACAGGAGACAACTTGACTGAGATGGATAGATTAAGGAAAAGTTTGGCTTCTGAATTCGAAGTAAAGGACCTAGGCCAAATGCGGTATTTCTTAGGTATGGAGGTCGCGAGATCAAAAAGGGGTATCAGTATTTCACAGCGAAAATACATTCTTGACCTGCTGACCGAAACTGGTATGCTTGGTTGTAAACCAAGCAACACACCTATAGATTGTGGGAAAAGAACAGAAGCGACGGGAGAGCTTGTTGATAGAGAAAGATACCAACGATTGGTTGGTAAGTTAATCTACCTATCACACACGAGACCAGACATTGCGTTTGCAGTTAGCGTGGCAAGTCAACACATGCACTCGCCAAAGGAAACTGACCTAGAAGCAGTGTACAAAATTCTCAGGTATCTAAAAGGCACCTCTGGAAAGGGTTTATTTTTCAAGAAGAGTGAGAAGAAAGAAGTAGAAATATTTACAGATGCCGATTGGGCCGGATCTATAGAGGACAGGAGATCAACATCAGGATACTGTACCTTTGTATGGGGCAATTTGGTCACTTGGAGAAGTAAAAAACAAAATGTAGTGGCAAGAAGCAGTGCAGAAGCAGAATTCAGAGCAGCTGCACAAGGGATATGTGAAGGACTATGGTTAAAGAAACTTTTGCTCCTTAACTTACAATGTTATCTTAACGGATATTTTGAAATAACACTATTATTTCGGCGGTAGCTGTAAAGTCTTAACCCAGTACAACATGATAGAACAAAACATGTGGAAATCGATAGACATTTCATCAAGGAGAAGGTAGAAGGTGGAGTCATTTGTATGGTATATGTCCCCACAAAGGAGCAAAAGGCAGATATTCTCACCAAAGGATTGTCTCAACAAAGTTTCAACGATTTCACTAGCAAGTTGGATATGATCAATATCTACAGTCCAACTTGAGGGGGAGTGTAGAAAACCGTGTATATGGAAAGATATTTAAACCTTTCCATAGTAGGGAAATCTGATTGTATGTAGGATATTA